AAAATCTCAGTCATTTTCCCTACATATGGAATTTCTGTACAAATTGACAAGCTTGTTTCTCCTAACAATCTGATTTATAGTATTGAATGTTAATGTTCAAAACATTTTTGTAAAAGATCAATATTCATATTAGGTCATCAAAAGATTGAATAAATTGCTTCGTATTACAAAATTCACATATCGCACCATACAACTCGTAAACAAGCTAGCTCGACGATATTCATTCCTCTTTTGCATTGCAAAGACACACAAAAACTTGAGATTTATTCCCAGTCAGAATCTGAATAAGCACTTTGCCTTACGCTCCTCTTGGTTTGTGTTGTAGATTTTGGTTTAAGAGACGATTCTCCTTCGTAATGTATCACTTGAGCTCTAGCTAATCTGTCTTCTAGATCCTCGGTGCTGAAATCGTCTTTCCCTCCTAGCTCATTGAACCCAACCTATCAACAAACATTGAAAATCAACAACATATTCTATAAAAGATAACTAAGATTGAGTTTGTTTATTTACCACATAATCATCGACTTTAGTGTTCTTTATGAGGGCAAGAGTTGGAAGAACAACAATCTTGAGTCTCTCAGCTAAGAACGGACTTTTCTCAGCTTGGATCTTCACAAAACGTGTCTCAATATGTTGCTTTGCCAATATACTCATGTGCTTTTCCATCACCTGCAAAACAAAAACAAAAACATTTCTGGTTTATAGTAGCTAAGGAACAAGAAAGCACCAACAACACAAACAAATCAAACCCACAAGGAGATAACTTTGGCTAAAACCCAGCAAAAATCTTCTGCAAATTGAACAATTCAACTGAAACCTGAACCCTAAAATTCAAATGCAAATAAAATTGAGGATACGAATCCGTACTTTACAGGGCCAATTCTCACGGTAGAAGTGGCAGACGACGCGTTCACTGGATTTAACGGCGGCGAAGAATTCTTTCTCGGAAGGAATCTCGGAGTATTCGCCATATCCAACGTTTCCTTTTCTCAGCTATTTTCTTCATTTGCTGTAACCTTCTTTCTCTCAAAACCTCTAGATCGTCTTCGTCAAGCTTTTCAAGAGACGCGATCTCTTCGTCGAGCTTATCCTCCATAGCTTTCGCTACCGTCAAAACTTGCTTCTCCAGAATCTGCCATGAAAAACAAAAACAAATTTCACAAATCAAATCGCCCAAAAGTTTAAAATCGAAAAGATAAAAAAAAAAACTCAATTTCTCAATGGAACCTCTTGAATTGGATTATCCATTGCTTAAAACTCCGGCGAGATTTGTTCGGCGGCTTGTTAATTTGAATGCAAAAGAGAGATTCAATTTTAATTTTTAAGAAGACGAGATGCACAATGTCGACAGGTTGGTTCTAAAGTTCTGAAAACGACATCGTTCTAATGGAACGTTTATTAATGGGCCCTAAGGACGAAATGGGCCTTTAAGAATTATTTTTTCCACTTAAAAATCTTTTGATATACGAAAATCCAAGATTCTGTACGGTCTGATTCCGACTATGAAGAAGATCTTTCGTTCTAGAACAAGGGCCTAATGCAAAAACATATTTCATTATCGTTATAGAATATTGAGACAAACTTACGTCACACATCGACCATGTTTGTATTATATTATGAAAATCTCTTATTTTATTAGGCATGTGTATGGGTCATTGTGAATCGATAGAACAAGACGCTTTACTTTTTTATTTTAAAATTGGGACATGATTTTTGGTCAAAAATAATTTACGTACACTTCTCAATAATCTGTATACTATTATTCTATGATTCATAATGGAAAATTTGCTTCCGTAGAAGTAACTAGAGACGCGTAAAGATAGATTGAAGATATAAAATGCATAAAAAGAAAAAAAAAAAGAATTGGCCAAATAAATTTTAACTATGGTAGATGCATATGTTAAATGATGGTGTTTAAACCAGTTTAAACTTTGGTGATTTGAGTTCATTTAGAGTCTTAATCTATCTCTCGTCTTCACATTTGATCAAGGTAAAGTGTGTCGCTTCGTTCTAGTAGCTTTTAGCTCAGCCATTGTCTTCGTTTTATATTTTTCTTTAGTGGACGTATGTTTTTCTTTTGTGGATTTAATTTTATGAGAATTTCTTTTTTTTTTTACCGGTTATTGTAATTTCAGTTCAAAAGTTTTAATAAATTCTAGATGACAGTCAAAGTCAAATAATAAGTTTGATTCAAATTTAATATGAATATTATGATCACTATCACAATAAAGCTATCAAAAATTGCAAATAACAACAACATCACCGTACTATATAATAAATTTTACAACTATGAGTACATTCTTATCTGCATATGTCATTCAACTTAATTGAAATGAATTTCAATACAATCATCGTTAGAAACTTAAAATTATGAAAATTATTTATGTTTAAACACACAGTACGGACAAACCAACTAGTCTCACATTATGATTATAGAATACGCAATATGACACTATGATTATAGAATATTGAGACGACACTATGTCACACACCTACCAGAACAGTAGTATTATAATATCTCTATGTATTTTATATACGCAGGTGTGTATCAAACTATCAATGTAAATCGATAGAGTTAGACCCTTTACTTTTATTTTTTATTTTAAAATTTGGATTTTGGTCAAAAACTATTTTATGTG